GGTGGGAATGCAAAATGGCACAGACACTTTGGAAGACAGTTTGACAGTTTCTTACAAAACTAAACATACTCTTACCACATGATCCAGTATTCATACTGCTTGGTGTTTATGCAAATAAACTGAAAACTTATGTCCACACAAAGTCTGCACACAGATGTTTATAGCAGTTTATTCACAATTGTCACTAGTTGGAAGTAATAGTTAGAAGCAGGTGAATGAATAAAAATCGTGATACATCCAGACAATGAAATATTATTCAGTGCTAAAAAGAAATGAACTATCAAGCTATGAAAAGATATAGAAGAAACTTAAAGGCATATTGTTAAGTGGAAAAAGCCAATTTGAAAAGGCTACGTACTATATGATTCCAACTCTGACATTCTGGAAAAGGCAAAACTATGGAGACAGTAAACAAATCAGTGGTTATCTGAGGTTAAGGAGGGAGGGAGGGATGAACAGATGGAGCACAGAGGATTTTTAGGGCAGTGAAACTACTCTGTATGATACTAGAACAGTGGATATGTCATTATACATTTGTTAAAACCCATTAACTGTACAACACCAAGAGTGAACCCCAATAGGAACTATGGACTCTGGGTGATAACGATATGTCAGTGTAGGTTCATCAGCTGCAACAAGCGGACCACTCTGGTGAGTGATGCTGATAATGGGGGAAGGCTGTCCATGCATGGGGGCATGGAGTATATGGGAACTCCCTGTAACTTTTCCTCAATTTTGCTGTGAATCCAAAACTACTATAAAGAAATAAAATCTAATTTTAAAAAAAGCAATGGCTTCACAAAATTTAATAAGTGTATGTAACAGAAATTTTTGTTTTTTAAAAAACAATTTCCCAGAATATAAAATGTTTTCAGTTTAAAAGAGCCCACTGTGTTTGTGTCATCATAGATGAAAACAGAACTCACTAAGGTGCATCATTGTAAAATTTGGAACATGGGAACCAGGAAAATTTCCTACAAATTTCGAGAGAGTTAGAAAGGGTATGGATTCAAAACAGCTTTTGGACATCCACACAATATTGGGAGATAGGAGGCCATAGCACAGGCTTTCAAAATTCTGAAGAAAAAAAAATTTCCTGCCTGAAATTCTGTGTGTATTAGGATGTGTCCCCCTAAAAAAGACGAAGACCTGGGATGCAAAGAATAGGAGAGTCACATAGGACAGAGGCAAAGGGAACTCCAGGGCAATGGTGACAGGAGACTTCAGGGTGACAGCTGTGTAGAAGGGTCAAAAGCAATCTGTCCATGTCACAGCAGGTCAGCAGACTCCAGGGAGACTTTGTTAGGAAGATGAAATTGTGAGAATAACTAATTCACCCAAATCTCTTGACAGAAAATTTATGTAAGTGGCTGAGAATTTAGGGTTAATTCACTGAGATGAACATAAAAAAACAAGCAAATGGAAAAACAAGATAATTATTATTACTATTATTATTTTTAATTTTTTTGGGGAACAGCCATGGTCATCGGTTACACACTGCTTTCATGCTACAATGGCATAGTTGACTCTTTTAGGGAGGGCGCAGCTCACAGTGGCCCATGAGGGATCGAACCAGCAACCTCAGTGTTATCAGCACCACGCTCTAACCAACTGAGCTAACCCTAAAACAAGACAATTATTAAATCCAGAGGAAAAAAGTTTTGATGGAAAAGAAAAATAATCGTAGTTAACCATGTTTCAGCTGTGAGTATATTAATATAATTATATAAACGGTAAACAAGGCTTTTGACAAATTATGATCTATGTATATTGTTAGGATAGAATAAAGGAAGGATACAAAGGGAAGAAGACTGGCAAAGACTCAAGAGAAGTAAATATTTGTTGTAGGCCACAGATAATGGCTACACCCGAAAATCAAGAAATTTTAAAACGTGGAAGAGATAAACATCAAAAGAAACAGTGAACATCATGATTCCTCTGGAGAAGAGGTTGGGGGGCGCTGCTTATTTCAACTGAAATCTGAGATTTTGCCCTACTTATTTGCTAACATTAGTTTGTCAGTTTCATGGATGAAGACACAAGACTCTTGGATCAGAGACAAAGAACGGTTTATTATGCACAATATTAGCATTTTTAATTTTGTCCCCTGAACCCCAGTTCTCACAGAGTGATGCTAAGAGAACCAGATGGAACCTGTTACACACAGTGGCTTGCCTCACAGGAGAGGAGCCTGAGCTTAGGTAGGGTACCTGAACTTTTAACGCTCAGTAAGTCCGCCTGCCTTTGGCTTCAGAGGAAGATGCTACCTCTTCCAAGGCCATTTGTTATACAAACATCCTTAAAAAGATAGCAGGGAACGAAGTATGGCAGCCAGTGCCTCACTCCCAAGACGTGCAGAAATGCGAGAGACCATGGAGAACTGATTCCCAAAACTGCTGTTTTTCATTAACTTCCTTGGATTATCTGATTTTAAAATTTCACGTGCACGTATAACTTCCATAAAAATAAAAATGTAATAAGTTAGATGTTTTAAATGATTAAAAACAACTCTCCCAGCCCTTATTCCTACTGACTGGGCACCTTTACTTTCCAAGGCAGACCCAAAGTTGGAGAAAATTGGAAAAGGAAGTTTTCCGAAGCTTTGCGCAGGGCGGGCTCGCCCGGAGAAGTGCGGTTTCAGCCCCCGCGATCCCTCCTGGGGACGGCGGGCTCGGCGCGGCGCGGCGGCGCTGGCCAGGCTCTTCCTCGGCCCTGAGCGCCGGGTGTGCACCTTCTGACCCGGACCCAGGGGCGCGCGCTGTGGGCTGTCGGGGAGTGCGAGCCACGGGTGTCAAGTACCCGGAGCAGCCCTTCTGTAGTTTGTGTTGATTACAATTATCGGGTGTGAATGGAGCCCCACAGAAAATCAAGACATAGCAACGTGACCAGTTGACGTGGCCAGCCGGGCGCTTCCCACGGCTGAGGGCCAGAAGGGTCTCCCGGGCCGCGGCCGATGGCGCTGCCCGGACGCCCTCGGTGGCAGGGCAGGAGGAGAGGCGGGCAGCTCGGCCGCGTCCCCGCAGGGTCCTCGGCCCCAGGGGGATCCCGGGCCAGGTGCCAGCGGCGGGACGTACGCGCCACCGCCTCGCCAGTGCGCTCTGGGCGCCGTAGGGCCCGGGCGTCCAGCGGGGCCGGGTCCCGCCTGGCGCACAGACCCATCACGCCCACCTTCGTCGCCCCCTCACCCAGCCTTTGACCTTAGTGGACCAGAGGCAGGGTCCCGCGCTGCGCAGCTTCGCCAAGAAGCGGGTCTGCGCCTTCACCCCTCCCTCCCGCACCGGCCACCGCCCGAGCCCGTGGAGGAGGGCTGGGCTGCGCAGAGACCGCTTATCGGCCCCATCTCCCATTACATAAGGCCGCGCCTCTATCTCCACCGGGCATCACTGCGGCCGCCGGGCCAGCGCGCCTTCTCCCACGCGCGGGAGTTTTGTTGGTCCTGGCGAGTAGGGAGGCGTTGACTCATCCTAACGCAGGGCTCCGGCACTTGCACAGCCCCCGGTGGTTCCCCACTCCTTCCCCCATCACAGAGATGCCATTGGCCCTATTCTACAGATGAGGAAACTGAGGCCCACAGAGGGGACACTCAGCCAGGCGGCAGCACTCCAGGCCCTGGGGGGCCGTGCAGGGCAAGGGCTGGCTTCCGCAGTCAGGGCCTGCAATTGGGTGGGAAGCTTGGGGTTTGGACAAAAGAGAGGGTGCGGATCATGTTAGTGGTGGGAGGAGAGGGTCTGCAAGGCTGGGAAACTTCTGAGAAAGAGAGACAGCTCCAGCATCTCTTCCAAGACCCTTTTGGGGAGGTCGAGCCCTCCTAAGGGCATGGACAGAGGCTCCCTGAGCTAGCAGGCAGAGGGAGGGGGCCTGGAGGGGAGGCACTGGCTTAGGGGAGGAAGTGAGGGAGGGAGAGATCTTTACATCAGCAGCCAACAGGCAAATGCTGCGGCCTCTGTTGTGGGGGTTTCTGGAGAACTTTAGAGAAATGAGGGAAGAGCAGGAGAATGGCTACATGCCCGAGTCCCTGCATGGGGTGGGCTGCTCACAGGGGACCCAGAAGCTGGCCTTCATTCTTCAGAAGGGAAATTGAGACCCCCAGAGGGCAGAAGTTGGTACCACAGAGACTGATGGGCAAAGGCGGTCGCTCCAGGTCTCAGTGGCACTGGGGACATTTACACTCTGACCTGACTAAGGCTGGGCCCATCTCCCACCAACCTGGCACATTAAGGGGTTCCCAGCAGGATGGGCCCACACTGAAATCCTGGGTGGGGCGCCCAGTGTCCAGGCTGCCTGTGCTCAGTCATCATCAAAGCAATGTAATAAAGGAAAGGTCCCAGGAAGATCCTTGAATCTGACTGGACCTTTCAGTAGAGACCTGGGGATCTGAACTTTTATAATCCTTCCCACAGAGGGGCCAGTGGGGAGCCGGTGGACCAAAAGAAGTGAACTTCACTCTGCTCCTTTTTCCGTTTGTATTTTGTATCCAAAGCACGTATTACTCTGGTAATGCAAGAGATCATCAGTTCATTGAAAAAATAAAAACCCCAAATTCCCATATCTGGTGGACTGGGGGTCATAGAACCGTTTGCCCAAGTACATATGGTGACTCATAGGGGTCTGAAGACAGGAGCTGGGCAAGCACTTAGGGCTGGTCCCCAAGCAAGACTGCTGGAGCTCCAGGCCCCCTCAAGGCCCTCTCACCTACTCTTGGAATAAGCCCATCCAGATCTTGGAAACTAACCGCAAACCCCTCTCGATAATACGTCCACAAGAAATCAAACTCTTTCCTTTATGTGACACTGGATTTTCCACAAAGTAAAATCAAGATAAGTAAAGATGTGGTTTATAGATAGTGCCCGACAAAGCGGAGACCAGGGTGTGAGACGTCATACATATTCATACATATTTGGGCCTATAAAAGCTGCCACAAGAGACCAAGGCCACAAGTAACTCAGCTCGGGCCACCTACGCGTCTGCTCCTCGTTACTCCTGTGTTGGCTCTAGGCTCCATGGCGCTCTGGTTGACCTTGGTCATTGCTCTCACCTGCTTCGGTGGTCTCGCCTCCCCGGGCCCTGTACCTACCTTCACGGCCCTCAAGGAGTTGATTGAGGAGCTGCACAACATCACCCAAAAGGTGAGTGCCGGCTGGCCGGGGTCCCAGCTCTGAGGATGCTGGGTGGGTAACTCTTGGAAGAGTACTGGTTATGGTCTGGGCCATGAAGGCTAGGCCTGGTGCTGAGATGCCTGCGGGTCAGAAAGAAGCCCCATGGACCAGGGGACAGGCTGGGCCATGAGGGAGAGAGAAGACCCAGGCTGGGGGTGCAGAAATATGGATGGACCCATGAAGGGATTTGGCAGAGCTCCAAGGGGCAACCTGTTTTCCTGGCCTGGCCCTGCCAACTCCTACTCAGCCATTCCTGAACAGAGGAAAGCAGAGAAGGGCCAACCTCTCTCAGAACCATTTGGCCTTTGCCAACGAGATTTTAGCACAACGGTAGGGCCATTATTCACAACATCTTAGTTAAGCCCATTCTTATGGGATGGTTCGTTTGTCAAGCCAGCTCCTCTCCCCAGTGGTGACAGCGCACACTTTCTGAGCACTGATTACGTGCCAGGCCTGGTGCTGGGTGCTTTCTATTTCATTTCATCACTTCCTACCACCTCAAGAGGCAGGTATGATGACCCCGTTTTATTGGCTAATCCCCAGTGAGGTTAATTCACAAAAGCCTGATTCAAACTAGGCCTGGCTAACGCCAGGGTGCCCATGCTCCAAATTGCGCTGTCCGCCAGTTCAGAAGCCGGGATGTTTATACACTAGATCCCCACTGCCTCCCATCTGCTTGACCTGGTTACCTGCCCACACCTGACCCTGGCCTGGCTCTTCCCAATAGGCCTCCTTTTGACCGGCCTGGTGTCTTATGTCCTCTTGCACTGCCTATGGCAAGCTTCATACAAGGCTTGTCCTTTACTGGTTATGTCATTCCATCTTCCCCTCTTGGCTCAAAGACCCTGGACAATGGGTTTCCTCCACTGTGCAGAGCAGGAAATGGGGCTCAGGGACATTGTGGGAGACCACGCCTGCCTCATTGCTACACCAGGGGTGCTTGTGGTGCCTGATCCCCACGAACACCTGGCCTGGGCTGGCTGGGGCAGGCCTGGGACTCCTGCCAGCATTTAGCTCACTGTCTTTTTGCTCCCGCAGGCACCCCTCTGCAATGGCAGCATGGTGTGGAACGTCAACCTGACGGCTAACTGGGTAAGAACCCCTCAGAAACTGGGAGGGAGGTGGCTGAAGCCTTGGGCTTGTCTTTTCTGAGCCTCACTCATAGGGATGGGGGTTCCAAGCAAGCTGCAAGATCTATTCTCTCTTCCCTCATAATCTGGGCCCCTCCCACCACCCAGACCCAGCTCTGTCAGACCGCTCAGTCCCCCTGCCTGTACACCCACTGAAGGTGTTGCCCAAGACCATAGGCTAGGGGTGCCCAGCAGGGCCTAACAGGCCACACTGTCTTCCCTGCAGTACTGTGCAGCCCTGGAATCCCTGATCAACGTCACTGACTGCCACGCCATCCAAAGGACCCAGAGGATGCTGGGTGCACTGTGCTCTCACAAGCCCTCAACCAGGGTAAGGCCCCTGCCCGCACCCGCCTCTTGCCAGCCCTGCCAGAGGGGGCGGGGAGTCCACTGTGGCAGGAGGGACATGGCCTTTGGGATTTCCAGACCTGGGCTTGAGGGTTCCTGACTCTTACCTGTCCTTCAGTAGCTGCATCTGTAAAATGTGGGTAATGACAGTATCCACCTATGGGGGCCTCGGTGAGGATCCAATAAGCCGGTCCCTGGAAAGCCCCTAGCAGATGCCGGTCGTCCTTGCTCAGGCATTGTCCCACTAATGCGCTGGCTTCTGTCCCACAGCAGGCTTCCGGCCAGCCCATCCGAGACACCAAAATTGAAGTGTACCGATTTGCCAAAGACCTGCTCAGACATGCAAAGAACGTCGTTCGCCAAGGAAAGTTCACTGAAGCATGAAATGCTAGCAGTGTTATCGGCAGACGCCAACCCTGACCGTTTAAGTTGCAGAGTCCTTTTCATTTCAGATATCAGAGATTTCTTGGGGAGATGGGGAGGCGGGGGAGGGGGGTGGATAAGATCTCCTTAGCTTAGACCTTAGCCTGTGCTGTCTGCCTTCAGCTGCGCCAACCCAGCGGTCCCTTAGCTTGGTGCCCGGGGCTTGGCCTGGTGGGCCTCCTCCATCGAGGGCTCCAAGCTGATGGACAAGGGTAAAAAAGTTGCCCCACATGACCTCCCCTTCCTTAGAGCAAACTGTAGCATTACAGTGGGTGCCACCCTTGCCAGTCATGCTGTGGGAGCAGGCTCTGCTTTATACAGGGGCAGCTGAGGCAGACAGTAGCTCAGGCATATTTCCTCTTGGCCTTATTTATTACTGTGTGTTATTTAAACAAGTGTGTTTGTCTGAACCAGAGCTAGGGAAGGGCTGTTGCTGCCAGAGCTTGGAGCTGAGGGCACAGGGACTTGGGGCTCCAGCACTAAAGCAGCAGGTGTAAGGAGTCCCTGGGAATAAGTACTGTGTGCAACATTCTACCTCACTGGGGTCCTGGGGCTAAGGCTCTTGTCTGCCAGCCAGCAGTCAGCCCTCAGCCAAGGAGTAATTTATTATTTTTCCTGTATTTAAAGTTAAGTATTAAAATATGTTATCAGAGTTAATAATATATAGAAGAGCAGCCTAGAACACTGTACATGGTATATGTGGATTATGCGGAGAGGTCGTTGAATAAGTTCTTTCATTGACTTTGTCACGCTGGAAGCCAGAAATAAAGATGGTGACAAGAGACCTGATGTGTTTGCCTTTTATTTTGGCCTTTGGAAATGCTGGCCTGTGTTCTTAAGACTCTGTGGAGCTCCTGTGGAGGCAAGCAAGTTGGAGGAGGGGGTGTGAGAGACAAGACCTGGGCTGAAAGAAAGTAAGCAAGCCCCTTGCAGAGGGAGGCCTTGGCCTGGAGGCAGGCCCCCACCTGCCACCCGCTGGGAGGGGCGGGGGAGCTTGGGCCAGGCTCTCAAGGTTCAAGGAGGGCGTCTGGAGCAGACAGAGACCTCAGATGTCATCTCATGATCACAGCTGTTGATGAGTGGCCAGCCTCTGGTGTCTCGTTCACAGTTCTTGGTGTGTCAAGTTATGAGAGTGTCTTCCTCATAACCTCTCTGAGGCTCAGAGAAGAGAAGGTGGCTTGCCCAAGGTCACACCAGGAGTAAAGTCAGGACTTTAAACTCAAAATTCACTCCAACTCCAAAAAATCATTCCAACTCCTGCCTTTCTCTGTCCAAGTTTCATCTGGCCTGAATGCATGACCTTTATCATCTTGTCATCAACCTGTTTGGACACCTCCCCTGATGGGGAGCTCACTGCCTGCTTTCCAGGGACTGCCCACTCTATTTCTAACCACTTCTCAGCGTTAGAGAATGCACTCATCACCTCTGTGAAGGAAGACACACCGGTTGACTTGTGGCCCTTGGACTGTGGAGCAGCTGAAGTGAGGAGCCAGGGTCAGGGGCCCTGGTCAGATGGCTCCCCCAGAGGTTTTTTACTCCTTCGGCCCAGGCCAGCGCCTGGAGTGCCAGAGCAGCAGGCCTCAGCAAGCACCGGGATGGTCATTCCCGTCAGCAGTTGTTCCCACTGTGAATCTTTGGGAGGTCCCGGAGCAGAGGGCTGCCCGAGGACAGAAAGCCTTTGCAGTGGGTGGTGGTCATCAAAGACCAGTCTCAGAGGCTGAGTGGCAGGCAGGTGCCCTCTCTGGGGAGCCCACAGCCGTATGGGGACAGCACAGCAATGCTCAGAAGTCAGTGGTGGCAGCCACCCAGGAGCAGTGAGAGCTGCTACAGGCAACAGAGGCCATGGTGAGACCTGTTCAGGGGGTGCAGGACCACAACAGACCACTGTGGGGTGGAATCCTCACTTGCACCCAGGCAGAGGTGAGGGAAGAAGCCACAAATGACTGAGCAGGATCTCAGGGATGCTTGGCCTGGGGAGGGGCCTGGGAGCTGAGTGCCCCACGGGCTGCCCAGAGCAGGGACTGGACTGGTCTCTGTGGTCCCAAGGGGTCCACACTACATTTGCTGAGACTGCCTGTGGCCTGCAGTATACCAGCCTTCTGGGCCGGCGATGACTAAGACACCACATGAGCTCAAGGCAAAGCACCAGAAAGGCATCTTTAAACAATGAAGGGTCTGGAGAAGGGTGCTGGACCCTGGGAGGGGGAGGAGTTTCCAAAGTCAGGGGTGGGGCTAGAAGGCAAGATCTCCGTGATCCCTCTCCATCCACAGATTCGAGGATTTTAAGGCCAGAGGATATCTATGGAAGATCGATTTTTTTGTTTAAATACAAAACTTAGCGATCCGTCTGCTAGTAGCATCACTTTTGACCCCTATCCTCTCTGCCCAACCAGAGCATTGGCCTGTCTGTCCAAAAGGGAAATGGAGAGTCTTCTGGTGAAATCCCACATGAATCTCCCAAGAACCGAAACTGGAAGTGAAGCTGGCGTGGGGGAGGGTCCCTAGGCCATATTTCAAGCCAGCCAGTCCTGAGGGCCCTGCGGCTGGGTACACAGTGCCAGCAGAGCTGCTGGGCCCCACCACTAGGGGTCCGCGGCGTGCCACATCCTCAGTCGCCCGCAGCTCTCTGCCTGCGCTGAGACTGTCCCCCAGACTGGGGACCTGTGGTCACAGGCAGGTGGTGTGCAGTGAGCTGGAGGGGGCTCGGGGCTCGAGGCCTTCCACGGAACACAGACACCTCACAGAGCCACAGAACTAAGCCACTGCTGGTGGCAACAGGGGGTGGGCCCAGCCAGGAATGAGAGAGAAAGAACACGTAGAAAGAGAACAGAAAGGTCTGTGTCAGCCATTGTGGCTGGGAGTGTCAACACCTAGGGACTGACCCCCGGGACGTTC